AGAATCAGAGAAGGCCTTTACAGCAAGGGTACTCACATTAGCACATGCTTGCTGCCAAGGTCACATTAATTATTCCCCAATAACCTGACCCACTTACTGTCCTCTGCAGAGGGGTGGGGAAATGCTTGGGAGGACAATTTTGCTGAAGCGATTTCTTGCCGAGTGTGCGAGTTGTACAAGGATATACAAGGAATCCCCTCCCATCTCCCCTCTCCCCCCGCCCCCCCCGGGGGCCCTACAGGCTGTCTCAGGAAGGCAGGAAGAGCCAGACATCCAACCTCCTGTGTCCCCATGGCTGCCAAGACCAGGCTGTAGATTACAGATGTCAACAACAGTAAAGAGGATTTTCCAAAACAGAACAACAATCCTACTCCCATGGGTATCTCCATACCTGGTCTCAGGGAACACAAGGGTGATTATGTAAATATACACACACTCAACTTTCTGTGAACTGTTCTTCCTCCTTAGTAGGTTTCCTGGTTTTCTCAACTAAATACACCCAAGTAATTAAAAAACGTATTCAAGCTCATCCCTATTACATATTGTTATATTCTTTAAGATGAAAAAGAGATCTTATTTTCTCTTAAGTCTAAGTCTCTAATTTCCTATTAAGCCTGGCAGTTTTTGTTTCATTTCTTCACAACCAGCAATGTAATGGACAGGATGAGGCCCCAGAAGGAGAGGAGGAAAGACAGCTTCAAACAGATCTGGAGACAAGATTCACCCACATGTAGTCAAAATCTCAGGTACCATCTCCATTCCAAAAGAGACTCTTGTCTCTTGTCTCTGGGCTTTAATTGCTCTGACAGACTACCCATTTTGGCCCTTAAATACTCAATTACCATTCAATTCAGCAAAGTATTTGCTAAAGACCTACCAAGCTTATTGTGCTAGGTACTGGGATGCCAAGATAAGAGAAAAAGCTGTCCCTGAGCTTTTACTAGGGAGTTCTATTTCCTGAACACATGTTCTAACTACACTTAAGCTCACTGGAAGTGGACCAATCATACCTTTCTCTTGTATCCTGCAAAGTGCTTACTTTTGCTTGTTGTTAGCTGAAGACTCATCCATTGTCTACAATTCCAGCTGGTGTTCAGAACAGTGGAGTAAAAGGGTGGTAAAAAAAAAAAGAAGAAGAAGAAACACTCCAGATTAAGGGCCTCCTGCTAAATATTTTATAGTGTCGCTTTTAGTGCACAGAACCAAACATTCATTTCATGGTCTATTCCATCTTACCAAGTTTTCAGCTCAAACTCAGCTTTCTCTAGATGTGATCTTTTCCAGAATCCTTTGCACTCACCGTCATACTCATTTGGCATTTCTCATATACTGTCTTGTACTTAATTATCTTTCCACATGCATATGTTTTTTTATCCCAAAACATAATTGGTTTTTGACATACATAGGCAGAAGACATAATCCATGGTATATCAGAATCCACATGATACCAAGAATTTAAATTGCAGTTCAGGCCAAGAACAATGGGGAGCTGCAGACTGGGCACAAACAGATTGCTACATTTTCCCAAAATAAACTGCTTAGGAAAAACTGCATGAAGGATAAGAGAGAGACCTATGACCGGAAAAATGAGGCGGGCTGTCATATATTTACAGCAAAACATAACCAATGGACAGTCCATGCAATCCACTGGCATCCAGAAAAGGGCAAGAGACCCAATGGAAAGCCCTCAGCTAGTTGGGTGGATCCTCTGTGTAAGACTTCTAGGAGGAGACATGGGACAAGAAGGCCTTCAAGAGTTCAGATATGAAGCTCTAGAGGCCAGTCACACTGATGTAAACACAGACTCATCGAAGTCTTGAAAATAATACAAACATAAACTGCCTGAAGGCAGGACCTTTTTCATTTTTGTCTGTGCATTCCTAGTGCCTGGTACATGGTAGACACAGTAGACAATGCTCACTAAAGGCAATAACAAACTATTGTACCGGAGTTTTGTAGTATTTTTCCAAAGATATACCAATTCTTACTTTCTTAAGACTATCAAAGGGTTGTTCCTGCTCCTTAGGATATGGTATTATTGTGCCTCATTGATTCACTTCCCAAAACTGTTCTCTACACCCTGCTCTGCCCCAACCCACATAGATTCCTCCTCTGATCTGTCCCTACTCAGCCTTCTTCAGTCCCAGTGAAGTCCTAACAAATTCAAATTGTGCTTTGACCTACCTGCAAGCCCAGCCCCAGCATACTGCTTCTTCCCATCATGCCTAGAGTCCTCGGCCTATTTCAATTCCAGATCACATCCAGATCTTGATGTCCCTGAGATCAAGGGAATCATATTTCCCATTTTCTGCTCCTAGCAGCACATGGCTCCACATTTTCCTGATTATAGGACCATGAGATCATGGACATTGACCCAGAAGAGAATTAAGATTTACACCATCTCCCCCAACTATTCCCTCCTCTTTTCTCACATAGCCACCCCCCTAATTCAGGGCCTTCTCACTTCTTGCCTGGGCTTCAGCAATAGCCTCCTCCTGGGTCCCCTGCCTCACATCCCTCCCCTCCCCATAGCTTTCAATACGTGAAGCCTAAAGCAAAGGTCTGACCATGTCCCTCTCCTCCTTAACATGCTCTGTTAGCTCAACAGGATAAAATACAAATTCTTCTGATTGGCATTTAAAGCCCGGCACAGTCTGGTTCTGGCCCATTTTTCTAGGCTTATCATCCACCACTCCCCTTCACATACTCAGTATTCCATCCAAACTGACCTAGCTGCCATTCCTCATTCACAACGATCCATATTCCACAAGTATTGACACCTTTGCCCAGGTGGTTTCCCTCCATGCCTGAAATGCCCTCCCTTCCAGCATTCAGCTGTTAGAATGTCCAGCTTCCTTCCAAGTTCAGTCTAGGCCCTATCTCCTCCTTCTCAAAGACCTGATCCTCAGAGCTGCAAGTACTACCAGACCCCCCACAAAAAATTTTTTTTTCCTTGCTCCTCTTTTGTATTGGTATGTACATGCCATTTTCCCCAGCCAATTAATTGTAAGCACCTTGAGGGCAGGGACCATATCTGTTTTTGTTTTTTACTCAAGCACTTGGAAGAATGCTGCTTAAAAAGTTACTGTCTATTCATCTAAATAAAGGGATTGCTAGATGGTTCAGCAGAGACAGGGCTAGACCTGGAGTGAGGAAGATCTGAGTTTAAATCTAGCCTCAGACACTGGATGTGTCTGGGCAAGTCAATTAACATCTGTCTGCCTCAGTTCCCTCATCTGCAAAATGCGGGTCATAATAACCTCCCTCTCAGGGTCGCTATAAGAATCAAATGAGATATTTGTAAAGCACATAGCTTGGTGACTGGCACATAGTAGGTGCCATATAAATGCAGGCTATCATTATTATCATTATTATTAATATAACCATCTGGAAACTCAGTGAAGTGCTTTGCCCAAGGTCACTGAACTCGAGCCTATATCCTTTGACCTCAAATCCAGCATGGTGCCATACTGGTCCTTAGTCAGAATGGATTGCTAACTTCCAGACCCTATAAAACTCTCAAGTTCAATAAGCAGGTCAATGACCAACATCAGTAAATCTGCTCAAAAGCCAAACAAAAGATCAGGTCAGGCCTGTTTCCAGCTGCTGATAATCTTCTTCAAATCCATCTGATTAACCAGAGAAGCTCAGTTTCAGGCAATCAACAAATACTGATTGTGAGCTTGCCGTGCGCTAAGCACTCTGGGGATACAAAGCAGCAGAAATTAAAAATACAATCTCTATCCTCCAGAGCTTAGAGTCTATAGCAGGGGAGATAGGATATAGACAGATAGATAGATATGAACTAATATTTATATATAAATGTAAAATATATTTGGGTATATATAAAATACATAAATATATACACATACTTGTTACTTGTTTTATATATATATATTATATATACATATATACACATACACATATATATGCATATGTGTGTATATATACGTGTGTGGGTGTGGGTGTAACAAGGTATCATATTACCACTGAATGCCAAATGAATGGCATGGCTATGGATTTGCAGAGAAGGAGGATAGCAATATGGACTGGAGTGATTAGAGAAGTTTCATGAATGATGTGTGACATGACTGGGGCCCTGAAGGATGGGTGCTAATAGCAATAAGAATGCCTTTCATATTTTAGCTTACAAATAACTTTTAGCATACATTGCCTCATTTGAACTTCATAACAACCCTATGAGTAGGTAAGGCAAGGAATCCTTATGTCCATTTTATAGATGAGGAAACTGAGACTCGGAGGAGTTTACTCACTTGCCTAAGCTCACAAAGCTAGTAAGCAACAGGCCAGAACTCAAAACTAGATCACAGGATCATAGATCTAGGGCTGGAAGGGATTTCAAGGGCCATCTAGTCCAACTTGACTCAAATCTTCCCCCTTAAGCGCCCTGCCCAGCCATTAATTACTCTATAAAAATAGTTTTGGAAAAGGAAATAGCAAACCACTCCAGTATCTTTGCCAAGAAAACCCACAAAGAGTCGGACATGACTGAACAATGATACCAAGACAGTTTTATAGATTATTAAAAGGAAGCCAAAGGAGGTTAGATGACATGCGTAAGATCATACAATTCACGAGCACAGTAGATGGGCTTTGAACCCAGAACCTCTGACTCAGAAGCCAGTGCTCCTTCCACTGAATCACCAAACCAGTACTCTTTATCACCTGCTTTGGAGAAGGATAGTCCAAGGTGGAATCGGTGGAACAAAAAGGAGGGTAATGAGGAGGAAAATGTGTAAGGTGTTTGGGGGACAGTGAACAAACCGACCTGGCTGGAGAAGGACATCTGTGGGAGGGAGCAGTAATAAGAATGTAAGGGTACGTTGGAGCCTCCCAGTTTACTTCCAAAGGTATGAGAGCAACTTAATAAAATGCCCTGAAGCTGATCTGGATGAGCCCAAAGCTGCCTCCATGTTCTGTCAGCCTCGGGTCTCCCGCCTAAACCAAACTGCTGCACAGTGTTGGGTAGAATCCCTTACCCAGCTTGATGTCTCCTTCCAAGGTCATCAGCACATTGCCAGCCTTCAGGTCACGGTGGATGATCTTCTTACTATGTAGGTAGGCAAGGGCTTCCAGCATCTGACGGCAGATTACTTGGATCTGAGGCTCTGTGAGCCCTCTGTCCAACTCTGTGGGCAAAAAGCAGCAGAGAAAGGATTAGGCAGCCTTAAAGGAACCAGCAGTTGTCTGGATCTTTGGATACCCTGGGCAGCTGGACCTTCCCTCTAGGCAAGTTAGACACACATCTAGATAACCTGAAGGCATTCTCCATCTTCGGGGTGGGGTCTGTATATGAACTGACAAACGGCTATACAGTGGCGGTCTAGGAGTCCACCTAGCCCCCACATTCTGGCTCTGGCAAGGACACCAAGGTCGTATACACAACGACTACAAAAAGATAAATAGAAATTAAAAAACAATATGTATAATTACAATGAACAACTTTAGCCCCAGGGAATAAACGAGAAAATGCACCTCCTTCCCCTCTTTGTAGAAGTGAGGGACCATGGACATGGAAGACTGCATACATTTTCAGACACAGTCGATATGTCCGTGGTCTTGCTAAACCGTGTTGGGTTTCCTTCTTTCTTTCTAGTCTTTGTTACAAAGGAAGGCTCTCTTGATAAGAGAGGGGAGAGGGATGTATCTGGAAATGAGCATTACATGGAAACAAAAGGCACCAATTTTTCTTAAAAAAGGAAAAAAAGACAAAGACATTGACAGATACATTGTGGGAGGATGTGGCTAGCCCAATCATCACTGAGATCACCATTTTGCTACCTGAGAAGAGCTCTGCTGAAGAGAGCTAATTCAGAGTTGGAAAGGACCTGAGAGGTCACCCCTAAGGTTGAACTAGAGTTCAACTCCACCTGCCCCCCATCTTACAGATGAGGAAACAGAGGCCCGGGGACATTCAGTGACTCGTCCAAAGACACTCAGAAAGGACCTAGCAAATCCAAGTTTCAAACACAGGTCTTTACGTTTCAATTCCAGCACTCTCTACCACATTATACAAGCTCTCATCTACCTCATAACCCGTAAATTTCCTGCCCTCTTCTCTGACCTTTTAGGGATAGGCTGCTTTATTGTCCAACGTCTATACAGAACGTTTTTAAAATCTCTTTCTCCTCCTTGCACTAAATCAGCACACTCTCTCCCTCCTGCCAGACCCCTAAAGTGCACACAAAACACCCCATCCGAGTCTGAGAAATAACGCTTCCGCAGGTGGCAACCTTGGAGCTCCCCAGCTGCCATATCCCTAGCTGCCGTCAGCACAGGGAGCTACCACAGCTCTATATTTGTATGGGCCTCTCTGTGTGGCTTCTCAGCCTGCAACTGCAAATCCCTTCAGGTTCCCTTCCTGGTTCCAGCACAGTACTTCATCCTCACAGCCTGGTCCTGCCCCATCCCCATCCAGGGAGCCAGGCTCAGACCTCTGAAGGAATGGGGTGAGGGGGACCCACATCTTTAATCTATTTCTCTGATGCTTCATCCCAAATTCTAGTCAAGTATTTAGCCTCCTTAGTTATTTTGCCAATTACAAAATGAGGGGATAAGCCACCTATCATTTTCCTACCTTTTAAGAGAAGAGGTTAAGCTATACCATGAACTCACCCTAGTAAAGGCTAGACATACAATAAAGCACTTAGCATTTGAAAAGAGCTTTATAATTTTTCAAAACACCCACTGTACTATTTTATCCTTCCAACTGGGGAGCAGGTAGGTCATAGACTTCATGACCCCTTCTGCCCAAATAAAACGCAGCAGTGACAGAGCTCTGGACTTGGAGCCAGGAAAATCTGGGTTTGAATCATGCCTGAGACACTTACTAGCTGTGTGACCCTGGACAAGTTACTTAAAGTCTGACACACTTTCCTAATCTGTAAAATGGGGATAATAACAGTACCTACCTCCCTGGGATGATAATATCATATTTGTAAAGAACTTAGCACAATGCCTGGCTTATAGTAGGTACTATATAAATGCTATTATATATTACTTGCTAGATGACCCTGGGCAAGTCATTTAACCACCCTCGTATGCTTGGGATTCTTCCTCTTCATCTGGACCGGATGACCCAAATCTATGACTGCATGACAGAAGGTGAGAGACATACAGGAGGAGATATTCACAGGAGACAACAAACACACAAGGGGACGGAATTTCCAAAGATAGAACCACTTGATTCTCAGCCTCTGCTTAATCGAGATCATAGATTTAGGGCTGGCAGACATCTCAGAGGTGATCTTGTCCAACCCTCTTGTTTTATAGACTAAGAAATTGAGGCCCAGAGAGGCTGAATGACTTGCCCAAGGTCATGAGTGTGTAATTGTCAGAAGTGGGATTTGAGGCCAAGTCATACAATCCCAGATTCAGAGGCCATCAAATCCAATCCCATCCCCAATTTTTTTTTTGAGGCTTACCATCGGACCTTTATTTTATGGTTCAGGAAACTGAGGCCCAGAGAGGTAAAATTACTTGTCCAAGGTCACATAGGTGGTATGTGACAGATAGAAGCTAGCAAGATCTATTTTATCTAATGAGATAAAATTCAATGGTAAGAAATGCAAAGTTTGGCACTCAGGTTCAAAATACCAACTTTACAAATACAAGATGGGGTAGAACGGTTATATAGCAGTTAGTCTGAGAAAAGAATCTGGGAGTTTTAGTGGACAGCAGGCTCCCTTTGAATATTTACCACCAGTTTTTATGATCAGGTTTTTACTGACGTCTTTTGTTTTTACACCACCTGTATTTCTCCCTATGCTCCTTCCTGCCCATCCCCCAAGGGTTGCCCTTTATAATAAAGAATTTGTTTTCTAAGTGAAAAAGGAAGAAGCAAAAACATTTCAACAAAATTGATCAACATATGGAAATGATACATCGCATGCAATGTTCCACACATACGGCCTCTTAGCCCCACAAAAGAGTAGGGGCAGGCGTCTTCTCATATTGCTTTTTGAGCACCAAACTTTAATCTCCTCAATTTCTATGAGGAAAGTGAGGCACAGAGAGGTTGTAATTTGCCCAGGATCACACAGCTTTGTCTGAGTCAGGATTTGAACTCAGGTGTTCCTCACTCGAAGTTCAGAACTCTATCCATTACATTACACAAATCTAACACTGTTTCTACTACACCACACTGCACAGTCTGGGCTCTGAGCACATCCCATGTTTCTAAAAGCCCTAAAAGGGAACCAACCAGTTCAGAAGAAGGCAACATTCAAGCATCCGAATTAACGTTGGTGGAGAGGTCCCTGGCCAGCCGAGTTCACAGCAGAGCAACTTTGACTAGAAAAACAATTCTAACCCCTGAGGTAGGTCGTAAATGTCTTCTGGCTTGCTTAAGAATTCCAACTCTAGGTATCCTTGCATGTTTACAGGGACTGAGGGAGACTTACCTAACATGATGGCATCCACTGCTCCACCGGGACAAAACTCAATCATGATCTGCAGAAAAACCAAACAGAGTCCAAGTGAACTGGAGCCCCAAGCAGGAGAATAAAGAGTCACCAGGCCGTGAACAGGCCCGATAACCCTAGACAGCAATTCTGAATTATGTTTAAAAAAAACAGTAATGAAAATGTCTGTTACTTGGACCCAGAGATCTTGTTGCTAGTTACATGGACCAAAGGTCAAAGAAAGAAAGCGAAGCCTCCGACACCTCAAAATATTCTTGGCAGCACCTTTTGTAGTAACAACGAACTGGAAACAAAGTAGATATCCAGTGACTGGGGAAGGGAGAAACATATGGGGGCAAATAAATGTAACAACATCATTGTGCTCTCAGACATGATGAACGAGAAGAATTCAGAGAAGTACGAGAAGACATTTGAAATGATGCAAAGAGCAGTATGTAGGACCAGAAAAACAATGGCAAAATGTTCCATATGGAAAGAAAAATGTTTAAAATTAGAAGCTGAAGCCTATGTAATTATAATACCCAAGGATGGCCCTGAAGAAGAGACGAGACAATGTGTGACCTTCTCTTCTTTGCAGGGGTGATGGAAGCGAGGGTGGACAGGGGAACTTTGGCTCTGGAACACTGCATACACTGTCAGACTCAGTTGGTGTGTTGGCTAGATTGCCGAACTGCTCTCTTTCTTCTCTTTCTTTTCAACTCTTCATGATAAGGGATGGTTTAGGGAGAAGGTATATTTGGAAATACATATTCAGAAATGAAGGTGATAGAAAACCAAAAGATATCAATGACTTTTAAAAATGAAGCCTCCACACCCTGGACAACTAGAAGGTGAGAATGATGTAGTACCCTAGGACTTCCTGGGCTGCTTCTACTGACCTGGTGTTCCTCCTCCCCAGGCACATTTACTACTCCCACCTCTCTCAGGAGCTGACCAAAACACATCAAAACAAGCTACTTTGTAGGTTTCTTCCACTGCCTAGAGTTGTTTCTCGTGCTGTTCATCACTACCCACCACCACCACTCCCTTACCCAGAAGAAAAGGGAAAAAATCAGTTTGTGCAAACTCGCTTGAAAAGGATGCATGTCTCCCTTCACTACGAGGTCACAAAAGAAGAGGGAGACACGTTGAAAAGCGTATGTTCTTCATTTATGAAAGAGGAAGCCTGCCTGCTCATATATTGTTTCTTCCTTGCTGGATGGCTTGCTCGGTATAAACCAACTGATGAGAAGCAGAGCATTCTTTAGGTTCAGTAAAGAGACAGATGTGTACATTGTTTTCTTCCTTCATTCAGGCTAACTCAAAGACAGTTATTAAATACCTTCTATGACCCATTTGTTCATTCATGCAACAAGGATGCATTGAACCCCTACTACAAGCATTTGGCAGTGAAAGAAATACAAAGAATTCTAATAGTCCTTGCCCCCAAGGAGTTTACAAGTGCAGTTGCGAAGAAGAAAGAAGAAAGAAGGAGGAGGAGGAGGAGAAGGTTATACAGTCTAATCTCATCTTTACAATAATAATCCTATGAGGCAGATGTTATCATTCACACCTTTTTATAAGTGAGGAAACAGTCTTAGAGAGATTAAGTGACTTTTCCAGGGTTACATAGCTAATAAGTGTCTGAGGCAGGATTAGAACCAAAGTCTTATTGATTCCAAGTCCAGTGTTCTATCCACTCTGCTACCCAAACATCCACAGATATGACAAAGTAACTGGCAACATAAAACAACAGGAGAAGAGATCTCATGAAGCAACACTCTGACGAGCCAAATGTTCTTCTCAAATTTTGAGTATGAGGACCCCTTTTTAATGTCAGAATATCTTGAGGACCCCCACATGATGACAGTTGATTATTAGTATCTTTTGACTAAGAAAATACACAATGACAAAAATTTATTATAAATGGAGTAATGCTTTTAAATTGATTTTTATTTATTAATCACAGTAGCATCTGTGTACATATGAGACAGTAATACTTATGATTGTGAATCATTATTTGTTCAGTCTCCAGAAACTAGATTTGTTTATGGATTCAAAGATGGCTTTGAATGCCCTTGGCAATAACCCCACAGACCCCATGGCCAACAGAGTGGGAACCAATTAGATAGATTATGAGTCCAGAAGAATTTAGAAAAAACAATTTCTGCATATTTCCCATTTAGGAGACAAAACTAGCCCGAAATATCCCATCTTAAAGGCACCTGATTTCCTATGTGGATGAGCATATCAGGCAAGATTTCTTGAGCCAGTGAGTGGATGAATCCCGACATTTAGAACATGCCAGGGAAACAAGCTGCCCGTCAGAACTAGGAACTGGTGCTATTCCCAGCATTGATGCAAGGGCCCTTTTTTTTTTTTTGGTAGTAAGGAAGTGGAAACAAGGTGGGTACCCATCAACAGCGGAACAGAGGAATAAACTGGGGCACATGAATGGGATGGATTATTGCCGTGCTGTACAAAATGATGGCTATGAGGAATTCATATAAACTTGGAAAGACTCATAGGAATTGATGGGGCAAAGTAAGTAGAAATGAGAAAACAATACATTCCACAGTAATGGAAAGGAATAAATACATGTGGAAGAGCAATGATTTCATCTTACAGGAAGCTCCTAACAACAAAGATTTTTCTATCAATGCAGATCTCACCTCATCTACGATTTAGCTGATAAATCTTAGGGAGGAGGCTAGGGCTCAGAGAGATTAAGTGCTGTGCCCAGTTTCCGACTGGAGCCCAGATCTTCCTGACTCCAAGCCTTTCACTAGAAGGATATCGCCTATGTCAACAGTCTCCAAGGCAGAGGCCATGGCTTAAACACGAGTGGTGGAGGACACCTAGACGGAGCAATGGATACAGCACTGAACCTAGAGTCAGGGAAATGAGTTCAAATCCGGCTTCAGACACTTATTAGCTGTGTGACCTCAAGCAAGTCGTGGAACCTCAGTCTCATCTGTAAAATGGAGATAATAACAGGAACTACTTACAAGAGCTATTGTACAGATAAAATATTTGTAAAGTGCTTTGCAAACCTGAAAGCACTACATAAATGCTAGATATCATTATCATTATTATTATTATTATTATTGTTATGAGATGGAGTCCTGGACATGGTGCCATGAAGACTTGAGATCAAATCCTGTCTCATACATTCACTAGCCGTGCCATGTTGGCCAAATCAAAACCTCTTTAAGCCTCAGTTTCTCATCTGTAAAACAGAAATCACAACAGCAGCTACCTTACAGGGTTGTAAGAAAACACTGAGATAAAGTATATAAAATACCTCGTAAGCCTCAAAGCATTATATAAATGTTTCTTATATACAATCATTATCATTATTCTTTTACTAAGGCCTAGAAAACTGAAGCAACTTGCCCAAGGTCACATAGCTATCTAATGAATAAAAGGCATCAGTACCTAAAACTCAGTGTACTAAAAAAATGAACTATCTCCTCCTCTCCCTTCCCTCCCCCATCGGCTCCTTCTCCCAGCTTCCTTGTTTCTATTCATGGCAACTGCTGTTTCTCAACCAGTCACCCAGACTCAAAAGCTCCCCGTCATCTTTTACTCTTCCCTCTCTCCTCACCCTCCACATCCAATCTGATGCCAACTTCCTGGCAACATCACACAAATACCTCTCCTCCTTTTCATTCCATGCTCAGTGCCTCAGTCCCAGTTTAAGCCTCAATTCTCTTGTGTCTGGGCTATTGCAGCATATTGCTAACTGGCTGCCCTGTCCTTAGTTGGTCCCTCTTCAGTTCATCCCACCCACCACAGCCAAATTTATCTTCTTCAAATGCATCTTTGATCATGTCACTCCCTCATTTTTAAAAGTCTTCCAAGGCAGTGCCTACCAAATCGAACAAAAACTTTTCAACTAGCTCTTCAAGACCTTCTATAATCTATTTCCAAACTACAATTCCAATCTAATCTCCTATTACTCTCTCACACATACCTACCTGGTCTTCTAGGCAAAGTAAATTGCTCGATTTCCCCTGGACACATGTCATGCTTTCCAGTCTCCCACAATCCCTGCCACAGCATACTTATCTTCATTTATTTTTACTAATCCATCAGTGCTTCCCATCAGTTATACACAGAAGGGACTCTTTTTTGTCTGTCTCTGTCACTGTCTCTCCGTCTCTCTCTCTCCTCCTTCTCTCCCTCTTCCCTCCTAAAAAGCATCTCCCAGCTTTTTGTTTTCGATTTCCTGCTTGCTTTTAAGTCCCTCCAGATCCATTTTCCCAAGAAGCAGAGGAGAAGGCGTGGGCCTCTGGAGTTGCTGGCTAGTATATTCTAGGAGATTTTCTTGTACTTTAAACAATGAAGGAAAACATCCAGTTATGTTCTGACTAGGCCAAAGATAGTATTCAAGCCAGAGAAGGGGGTAACGGCCTGTTTGATTTGGAGAGACCTCCACTACGCTTGTTTGACCTCTGACAGACCTCTTGTTAAGTGTAAAGCATGAGAGAGTGAACACAGAGGCCATCTGAGAAAAGCTGAACTGACAGCCTCCTGCAGAAATCAGGTTATAGGTCCAGGCACCCAGGGCGGTTCAGATAGGGCATGTGTGCCTCCGGCCTGGCCACAGTGGCAAGGCGGGATGAAATGGAGAACTCCTTCTAACAGCTAAGACTTGATCAACCACAAAAAACGAATCGCTTTCATGTCAACAGTTCTGGGGTCTCACACCAACTTGTGGCAATAAATAAATGAGTAAACTCCAATGGCCAAGTCTCTGCTCCCAAGCACACTGATTTCTCTGGCTCCGATGCCGCCTAACACTTCTACTTATCCCCTCCTGGGGTATGAAGGTACGGATGAGCATGATTTCAAAAGGATGTGAGCGTCATTCATTCTGCCCATACGTCAGAGATCAAAGCAATGGGTTTAGCTCAGGCTTTTTTGTTGTTGCTCTGTCATGTCCAACTCTTCGTGACTCCATTGAGGTGTTCTTGGCAGAGATACTGGAGCGGTTTGCCATTTCCTTCTCCAACTCATTTCACAGATGAGGAAACTGAGGCATAC